GCCTGTGCCTCTGAGAACGGACAATGCTGACGGTGATTTCAGGCGTTCTTCCACCAGCAGAGGCGCTTTCAGTGACTGACAGCTAATGCACTGCGTTTGAAAGGACAGTTAAAGACTCGAGAATTTTTTACTAACTTATGAATTAAGTTATTTATTTATTTATTTAAATATTTACCTTGGAAAATAAATTATGAAACAAAAGTCAACATGGCCCGTTTTAATTTCAACTTGACATATAACCACCCATGTTAAAAATTGCAGAGTATCTATCAGATGTTCTTTGTAAAATGTGCCAGCAAACTAGTATAGTTTCTGGCCCCTGCCTTCAAGGCATTTAAAATCCAAGGAAGCCACGTGGAAAATACAAGGTAAGAGACGATAAGGGGACCGGAACCTTATAGGAGAATAAATGCGGCCTGAGCCACAGTAAAATGGAAGAGACAGGCAGGAGGCTCTGGAACTAGAACGACAGGTGCCTGCTGCTTCTACTCTGTGCCCCACACTCTCTGGCCCTAAAGTTAGAAGTTGACTGGCTGCCAGGGTAACCAGAGGAATATTTCAGCTCTCGTGTTTGCCTAAGCTCATCCCTATTATCTGCAGGACGCTCTGCCTCCCCCTATCCCCCCAGACCCCACAGGATTTTAAAATGTTTATGTGCCCCCCTAGCCTAAGGGTGAGAAGTCCCAGGCACTTCTGTGACACTGTTAAGTAGCAGTCCCTTTATGGTACTCTTCATGGGACAACCAAGATGTATGAGTGTCTTAGTGGAGCTGGCATTTCTGTCTCCTTCCAGGGCACAGACACCAGAGGGAGAAGAAAACTTGTCTACTATGCAAATCCCTATGCTCATTTTAGAACTTAGGGCATTTACTTGTTCAGTGATATAAACAGTTTAATTGAATCATGAAAAATAATGAATAATAAAATTTACTTGGCTATGTAAAAAAAAATCGATCCATTTGATAATCTCTATCCTCATATAGACAGGCTGACTTTTTACCAGTGTCATCTAAAGTTTATCAGATCATTTGAAGCCTAGGTTTCCGAGGGGTGGAAAATTATGTCACAACTATTTACAGTTCACATGCGTTCTGGGGATTTTGTCCATACTGGACAAGGGCAGGATAGCTGCAGGAGTGATAATTTGGGGGACATAGATGACTGCCCACCTCAAAAGTAATGTGGTAAATTGTCTGGTTGCTGTGAGCTGTGTGACTCAGGGAGTGTGTGAGTTTAGATGTGTGGCTCTATGTATGACACCAGGCTAGTTGTTTTCTATTATGACAAAGCAGATGGCAAATTAGAGATGAGGTCATACTTGTGAGTTTAATACAGCGCTAGGCAGAGGCTGAAAATCGTGCTGCTCTTGCAGATTGAATTCCCAGGGCCACACGCACCTTAAAGGATATAGAATCCTAGTGGTTTTAGCAATGAACTCAGTAGGCATTATTGACACCAGTAAGAGTAGAGTGGAAATATTAGCCATGTCTACTATAATCCTAGTCACTGTGGCCGTGATTAGGCAAAATAGCTTGGACATTCATGAACACCTTCCAGTAGGAAGAGGAAATCTAAGAAACTGCTCTAGTAAAAATTATTTCTTGAGTGATTATACTGGGTCTGGTGCTGAGGATAACACAGTGAATAAGACAAAGTCCAGTTACTAAAGAGCTGATTTGCCAAAGATGGTCTCATACCTACTTTCTTAGTCCAGTTTGGGCTGCTGTAACAAAACACCACAGACTAGGTAGCTTAAAAAAACAGAAACTTACTGATCACACTAGTGGAGCCTGGAAGTCCAAGATCACGGCTCCAGTGTGTTCGTGTGAGGGCCCAGTTCTGGCTTGCAGACTGTTCCTTGTGCCTTCACAAGCTGGAAGGAGCAGGGATCTTTCTGGAGCCTTTTTTCTAAGGGCAGTAATTCCATTCATGAGGGCTCGGCTGTCATGACCTAAACACCAGCCAAAGGCCCAACCTCCCATTACCGTCACATTAGGCATTAGAATTTCAAGACATGATTTGGGGGGGACACCAACATTCAGACTATAGCACCTACCATTTAAAGAGTAGGAAGCTAGACCACCTACCATTTAAAGAGTAGGAAGCTAGAGAGTTGAGGCAACTTAACTTCCTATGCAAAAAAAAAGGAGTAAAGCAAGGTTCAGGATCAGAGCTGAAAGCGAATTCTTCATGTGACAATAATCTATATTTATGCAGTTTTGAATTAAGGACAAAGATGTTTTCCTTTTATTTGAAAAGAATAGACTTGAATTGGAACCTCTGAAAGTTCTTCGGGAAATAGGAGATTTGAAATTTAATGCAAAAACACAAAGAAATTGATGATGTTTCTAAATTGCCTGTTCTCATTGGGGATGATATCGCTATTGACAGTCCGAAAATTAGTTCTAGGGGTGTGAACAAGTCTTAGATATTACCGTAATTTGTGGTGCTCCAAAGCTCAACACTATCCAAAGAAATCGTATGCTTCAGTCCATTTTTTTCGTTGGGTTTTTCTTGTGTATCATATAACAGGCATTGACATTGAGTTCATGGAAGATACACAAAATGTGTGCAAGATCAGTGCTGTAAAACCTATGGTGAATGGGTGGCTCATGGGAGGACTTTCCATCCGTCATTTGCTTGATCTCAAAGTCATACTGTGAGAGGTGGCCTTCACTTATTTATGAGCTGCCATTGGCTTTCTGTGGATGTTGCTTATGTTTGAGCTTCAGTGCTTCTGAGCGTGAGGTGGGGTTGAGAATTAAATGCAAATAGTTTATATTTTACTATTTAATCTATAAAGTGAAACAACCATTAATAATTACGTTGATCGCAGAAAAGAAAAGATATTGTCAGAGTATCTAGCAGGTAGTGTAGTTAAAAATCATTTTCTGACATGAAGTAAAAGTAAAAATTATGTATGTAAAAATACATGTTAAGAAAATAATTTGAATTTTCAATTGTTTTTAGCAGTTCTGAAAGATTTTTCAGTAGATCATTATTGGTATTATGATGATGTATTCACATAAAATTTTAATATGAATATGTAATTTGATACATTACTATTTAGATAAATAAATATATTGCATTAAAAGTCCCTCTGCAAACTTATTTATGAAGATAAATTAAATGTCAATAGCTTTCAAATTTAACTTTTATCTTAAAATTTTAGTTCATTCTTAATCTTGCACTGAATAGAAAGAGTAAAGTATGCACTCTCTTTTTCTATGTATAAAGTAGAGATGTAGAGAGAATACCTAAACAGATATGCCGTGTATCTGTGTTACTAAGTTTTCTTGAGGGGTTCAGTTAGGAAAAAACATAAAGAGACTTTGGGGGCAGGAGGCAATGAAGAAAAAAAAAATGGTTGAGAAACACTGCTCTAAACCCATGTAGAAAAATGCATAAAGGAAAGAAAAACAGAAGTAGAAAGTAAGGGAAACTTTCAGAAAGTAGACACTCATGTGTGCCCTATTTAAGACACATGCACAAAGGAAGGTCTACAGAGAACCCAGAGACAAAGGTCACAGGTCACCCACCTCAGCCAGGCCAGCAGCATCTGCAAGATCCCCAGTGGCCCTACCCTTTCCTTCCTGATGGCCCTGGTGGTGCTCAGCTGCCACTCCATCTGCTGTCTGGGATGTGACCTGCCTCACACCCACAGCCTGGGCAACACAAGGGTCTTGATGCTCCTGGAACAAATGAGGAGAATCCCCGCCCTCTCCTGCCTTAAGGACAGAAACAACTTTGGATTCTCCCAAGAGGTATTTGATGGCAACCAGTTCCAGAAGGCTCAAGCCGTCTCTGTGGTCCATGAGATGATCCAGCAGATCTTCCACCTCTTCAGCACAGAGGGCTCGTCTGCTGCCTGGGATGAGACCCTCCTGGATAAATTCTACACTGGACTTGATCAGCAGCTGACTGACCTGGAAGCCTGTCTGACCCAGGAGGTGGGGGTGGAAGAGACTCCCCTGATGAATGTGGACTCCACGCTGGCTGTGAGGAGATACTTCCAAAGAAACACTCTGTATCTGCAAAAGAAGAAATACAGCCCTTGTGCCTGGGAGACTGTCAGAGCAGAAATCATGAGATCCTTCTCTTCATCAACAAACTTGCAAGAAAGGTTAAGAAGTAAGGAATGACATCTGGTTCAACATGGAAATGATTCTCACTGACTAATAACGTCACACTTCCACGTGTTCTCTCATGTCACAGACTCTCATCTCTGCTGCAATCATGACCTGAATTCAATCAAATTTGTCAAATGTTTTCAAGAGTACTAATGCATATTGTGTTTAACCCTGAGGACGATAGTCTCATACAGATGACCATGCTGATCTATTTATTTATCTATTTAAATATTTATTTATTTATAAGATTTAAATTATTTTTGTTCATACAATATTGTTTGAACCTTTACATGTGCTTTAATATAACAAAATGTATTCTTTATATTTAGTCAATTTATTATTTTCATTCTTCATTAAATTTTTACTTGGAAAATACCTTGTATTTGTTTCTTCTTTAAAAAAGAAACACCACACTTGAGTGTGTAACCTAGTTAAAGAATGGATGGCACAATTCCTTTACCCATCATTGTTATATTCAAGTTAGAAGTAAAAATGGACTTCCTCTAAGCACGGTTGTATGTTGCTCTCAGGATGCTGAGGTGGACATAACAAATACAGTTCTTGCTTTCTTGTATGTTTGATTTTGTAGGGAAAGTAACCTAAAAACAATAATCAGTTGATTGATCATTAAATATCAATTATTTTAAAAATAGTACCAATTAATATTATCAATGTAATAATATAATAATTATTTAATTATTATTAATATAATTAATATTAGAAATTAATATCAGGTTAATGATATAATGATAAGAAGGGGAAAAAATGGAATTCTCAGCAGAAGGTGGATCGAGTCATGTCAGGATATAAGAACATAAGCAGTAGATAGTCTCTGTATTTGGCTGGAAGACATCTATGTGCAAATTTCCACTGCATATTTGAGTTTGCAATTTACAAGCAATTCCATGAACTGTAAAGCATGGGAAGGGGAGTGGTCAGATGAGAAGAGAGTATAGAATGAGAAAAGGACTTAAAATCGATTCCTTGGACCTTCAACATTCAAAGGGAGGGAAGAGCCACAAAGGAAACAGATGGAATGGCCATATGTTAACGGGACGAGAGAGCAGTGAGAAGACTGTGTTTAAGGACTGAAACTGCTTAGAAGACTCAATGTGTTCATGAAAAATGTGGATGGAAACTGCCCCCCACACTGGGAAGGTAGATGGCATTGGTGACCTCAGGGAGAGCTGGTTTGGTGGAATAAATCACCAGAAACCATACTGGAGTAGGAGGAAGGGTGAATAAAAGAAGTTAGTGACAACATATAGAAAATGGTTTTGAGAGGTTTGCCTTCTGAAGCGGAGGAGAGAAATAGGATGGGACCGAGAAAAGAGTGTGGATGATTTTTTTCTCTGCATTGTTGTCCCTTTTTTGAAATGTATTTGCCTCTGGAGAGATTTCATATATTGACAAATCATATTAATATGTTTAATGTCTTATTTACTTTAAATCATGACAAATTTAATTAGTACAATGATAACTTATCATTATTTTGATTAGTACCATGTTGAAGGTCACTAAGCTACTCTGTGGACTGAAACCATCCACCACATGGGGAAACAGATGGAACTGACCTCCGTGAGAGCTGGTTTGGTGGAATTAATGAGCAGAACCACACTGGAGGAGTGGAAGGGTGATAAGAGAAGAGAAGAACTCCCAGTGTCATTTTTTTCACCTGGGGATTCACTTTATTTTTTTTTATCCTATTCAGACCGACGTTTGTTTTCCTTTTGCCTCAGTGCATCCAAATGCAGGGACGGCTTTCTAAGAAAGTTGAGTGGAGAAAGAAAAAAAATGATGTCTTGAAAATGATGAAAAATAATACTACAGGCCCTTTATGTTTCCATTTTTACTTCCCTATTTTGGTACTGACCTCAAGACGAAATAGAAAGTAATTCAGAAGTGGCAAGACAAACTATGCCCTGAAAAGTACTAAATTAAAACAAACAAAAAACATTAGAAAGACTCTGAAACTAGTGAAGTAAAGATGGCGAGTTTTCTGTAGCATCGTATGCTGCCCTCACTGTCCTCCATCTTCACTGTGAGAAGGAGAGTGATGAACTAAGACGCTCTGGAGAAATGTAATGACTGAATAGTCTAGGGATGGTTATTAATTATTTCAATATAAGCTTCTCATGGGAGACCAATATAAGCTTCTGATGTGAAGTCTGATGGAAAATCTGAGAATATTACTTGTTAATAATTATATCTTGGGTAATTATTACGAACTCAGTGATGATGACAAAATAGTGAGCAAGATATAGACATTTCTCCTAAGGAGGTTCCTTGTCAAACAGGCCTAATAAATCCATTTTCAAGAAGACAAATCCAGAAGGATGAGGCAGCTTGGCTGACATGCAAAATAAAGACAGCAAAAACAGTGCCCAGGAACAGATGTGAAATTTTGTTCTTAGCAAGAAGAACACTATTTACATAACTTTAAATTTAACAAAAAGACTTTCCTTTTGAAAGATTTGATTCATCTATATTGAATCATCTGGGGCAAAACTTCATTGCCCATTGAAGTTTCTTGGGGGAAATTAAACATAAATTGAGAAAATGAAAGAATAATTTAAAAGGTTGATGTCTTCTAATTTATTTAGAGTATACATAAAGGAAAGGAAAAAGAGATAAAATGTATACAGGAACATCCAGAAAATAAAAACTACTGTGTTCTCTACCCAAGAGACAGGCATAGCAAGGTCTTCAAAGAAAGTAGGGGTCAATGCTCAGACAGACACACACCTCATCCAGGCTACCAGCATCACCAAAGTCCCAAATGCTCACCCCTCTGATGGCCCTCCTGGTGATTAGCTGCATCACCATCTGATCTCTGGGCTGTGACCTGCCTCAGGGACATGGACTTGTTCAGAGGAAGACTTGATGCTTCTGAGACGAACGAGGAGGATCTCCTTATTATCCTGTCTGAAGGACATCTCCTCTGGTAGATGGTGGATGCAGCCAGTTCCAGAAGGCCCAGGCCATCTCTATCCTCCACGAGATGCTCCAGCAGATCTTCACCCTCTTCCACACAGAGCGCTCCTCTGCTGCCTGGAACACAACCATCCTGGACAAACTCGGCACTGACTCCATTGGAAGCTGGAAGACCTGGAAACCTGTTTGGTGCAGGCAATGGGAGGGGAAGAATCTGCCCTGGGAACTGAGGGCCCTACACAGGCCATGAAGAGGTACTTCTGGGGGATGCATCTCTATCTGAAAGAGAAGAAATAGGGTGACTGTGCCTGGGAGATTGTCAGAGTGGAAATCATGAGATCCTTCTCTTCATCCACAAACTTGGAAGAAAGATGAAGAAGTAAGGAAAGGGACCTGGAAATAATTCTCTTTAACAAATACAGTTATTGAAATGATTCTCTTTACCTAAGTCACATGCCCATGTGTTCCATCATTTTAAAGACTCTTATTTCTGCTTTAGTCATAGAATGCATTGAGTTAAATTGTTCAACGTTGTTGTTAAAGTGTTTTTGTGAAAATGAATATCTCTTGGGGCTTCACTCCTTGAGGGAGAGCTATACTGATGCTGTTTATATGTTCATATATTGGGGAACTTCTGGTTTCTCATTCAACATGTAACCAGCTTGGAAGTCACCATTTCTTACCTCACAACAACAACAAAAGGCAAAATGACTTGAAACAACTCTTTTTAGATCCATCAAGAATTGAAATCGCAGGGTAAGCCACTGCCTTGACAACTGGAGAGAAAGGTGGATGCAGTGGATGACAGCTTACCTGGAGCAGAAGCCCGCAGCTGGCTCTAGTATTGGTGGGAACACTTAACTGTAATTGAAGAATTGCTGGAGGCTCTGTGTGGATGAGCTTCAGTGTTAAAAATTCCAGGGGTCCAGAGTCATTGGACCCCCACACTTCTGTGAGTTTTACCTTCAGGAACACTAGTAGGTTCTCACGTGAAGATCAGAGAAAAATCTGTTTTTCCAGCAGAGGGAGGCAAAAAGTAATCATTTTGAAATACTCTGAGAGTTCTGTTCTCCTTAACAAAGGCCAGCACTCAAGGGAAACTGTTTTACCAGAGCCTAACCCACCTGAGGGCGGGGAAATACCTAACTCCAAACCCCTCTCCATTTCCTGTCTCACCTAATAGGGTGGTAAAAAGCTGAGGAGCACTTGTGAAGGTCACAGCCCAGGGGCACAGGCTCCCTGAAAGACTGAGACATAATCATAGGATTCTAGAACACTTCCCCTCCCCCATACTAACATCAGATCAATAGGGTTCCAGTATAGTAACCAGAGATTTCAATGGAAAGAATTGCAAGTGTCCGACTTTATTTAAGAAGTCTCTCGGGAAATTCAAAGACACCAGGAGAGAAAAAAGCAAGGCCTCGAGAGGAAATTTTAGCCTCTGACACCTACAGCTAAAGCAAACAGTGATAGCCCAACTCCTAGCTGGAGAAATGTACCACTTCACCCCAAAGGGAAATTTACCCCAGTTCCTTTTACACAGTACCTCATGTCCAGCTTTCAACAGAAACTTACAAAGCATACTGAAAGGTGAAACACTCAGTTTGAAGAGACAGAACATGCATCAGAACTAGACTCGGATATTGCAGAGATTTTGGAATTATCAGACCAGGAATTTAAAATAACTGTGAACAATATGCTGAGGGCTCCAATGTATTAATTTATTCATTCACCCTCTTTATGTACATCAGACTATGTATGGTATTTAAACTAGTTTTATTCATATAATACCATGTTCACCTAATAACATACTCAAATATCTCAAAAAATGTTCACCTGTATCTTTTATTACATTATTTTGCTGTTTAATTTATAAAACTCTTCCCCAGGAGACATCTTGGATTTGTTTATTCTTAAAAAGAGAAATAGCGTAAATTTCCAACCCATATTAAAAAATAAATGATGAATTCAACTCGCTCATTTGTTTTTTCCAGTCAGTTATAGTTTAAAACTGCATAATTCTGTCAGATTATGTGATAGTTCTGAGAATACAGAGGTGAAAAAGCAAATGCAAAACA